TACTTGGAAATCGTAAAGCGTCCTCAGTTATGCCAGTTACAGATAGTAACAGTACTACAGATTGTTTTAAGTGAAATTGAAACCAAAGAATGTAGAACATCCCTTCCATGTTTCTGCAAAACTTGCCACTTTTATGGGGAAAAGTTTATTTGTAATTGAAGTATATTTTGTTCATAATTGGGGAACTGCCCAAACAAGTTGTTTCCCTGATTTGTAACTATTTCTGTTGTCATGATGAGAGCACATGGGTTGAGCTAGTGAATGGGATGGGGATAGGTGTGTTTGGAATGCTTGTATACTGTTACTTTTTTACTTACATAAGGGTGAGAAACATCTTTTTGAGCTAGATGAATTTTTCAGGAACTATTGTTTTGGGTGTTTTAGTTTTTTGGAGACAGGGTCTCCCTGTAGCCCCAGGTGGCCTGGAACTCGCTATGTAGACCAGGCCAGCCTGTATCTCACAAAGATCTGCCTACTTCTGCGTCTGCCTCCACCTCCACTCTGAATGCTGGGATTAAAGGCCTGTGCCACCATGCCTAACTTCACAAGCCATTGCGTTAGAGTTGCTAGATCATATCGAAAGACTGCATTACTCTTTTAAAGAGGTGGAAGGACAAAGATATGTCGTATGATTAGGTAATTATTTTTGTGATACCCTAAGGCTGAGCTGTGAAATACCTGATTGAGTCCAGGGGATAAGAAGGTGCAATGTGGATAGACAGACAACTGCTTCAGTTCCTTATTGACCCAGCTAGTGGATTTCTCAAGAGGGATCAGAAATGCAAAACTGCTGAGTAACTCAATGATTTTTTTTCTTTTGTAAAATTTTTACTGAATTTTGTGTGTTTCATACAGAACATCTTAATCTTTATACCCCCTTCCCCGTTGTCATCCTCCCATATCCGCCCCCCCCAACACACACACTGGATTTCATGCATTCTGTCTTTGGTTAAGGCCTATTGAGTCAAGTTCCCAGTTGTCCCTTAGTTCATCCACTGAGGTCTAGTTAGCATATCTGTAGTCCCTTCCTTTAAGATCAGCTCTTCCTCACCCAGCAGTAATCAGCTGTCAATAGCTCTTTGGATAAGATTGGGGCCTGCTGCCCATTTCCACAATTCTATGTTGGGGTTTTTTGTCTGCTTGAGTTTGTGTGGGTCTTGTGCATGCTGACTCCATTGCTGTAGAGTCATATGAACAAGGTCCCAGGTGCCTGTAAGATTCTTGTTTCCATGTGGTCATGCACCTCCTCCCTTTCCGCCCCCTCCTCTGCAATGGTCCCTGAGCCCTGGGTGAGTAAGGTTTAATATAGGAGTCCTGTTCAAGGACCCACACTCTGCAGACTCTTATTCTCCGTGCTTTCGCCATTTGTGTCCTTTTGTTGTATTCATGGCTCTCTGTTGTTTAACAGAGCTTTATTGATGAGAGTTGAGAGAGAAATTAGTATTCTGTCTACTTGTTCCACTATATTCTGTGAACTTTAGGTGTAGAGGTTCTATTGTAGATATGTCATTTAGTGTTGGGAAATTCACAGACAATCTCTGTGTGTGACCAGTTGTGGAACTAATAATCTTTGTATGTTGCAAAAGAAGCTTCTTTGGTGAGTGGTGACTGAGATACTTGTCTGTAAATATAAGGATACATATTTTGCACATGGTAAGAAATTACATTTGTCTAGGGATGTGACAGCCTTGGGGTTTTCTTTAAGATCTGTGACCTCTCCAGCCATGTATATTTGGCTAGGTTTACAGTACCACACATGAGTTCTCTTTCATTGAGTGGGCTTTAAGTCCAATTAAGTAGCTGTTGATTACCCCCAGGATAAAAGGGCCACTACGGCCCCAATATAGTTTGCTGTCATTGGTGTGATTATTAGACATTAAAGCTGGGGTTGGACCATCGATTGATGTTTTCTCTTAGCAGCTTGCATAGTATTCTTCAAAACTATGAGAGCTGGCCTTCAGGGAGGTAGCCTCCAGATCAGTTCCAATTCCATTGCTCCAAATCTGTGTCTGAAGTATGCCCTGTCTCCAGCAGTAGGGTCTTGCCTTCACATTCTAGGAGGCAATCAAGGGCTGTGGTAATAGCCTATGTAATTTTGGGAGTCTCTTGGACTACCCTGGCCAACAACTCAAAGGAAGGTTTCTCCTGTCTGGCACTGTTTCATGTTATGTAACCTCCAGCCATACACAGGAACTCATGTAGAGATATTGTATGTGTAATTTTTCAATTAAGTTTTTAGATTAATATGATTCCTCCTGGTTTTTTATACCAGCACTATTTATCTGTCCTCTCAATATAAAAAAAATGCAAGTTATACAAAAATAGTCATATCTTTCTGTTGAAGATTATGCTTAAATGTCAGATATATACCTGAAATCTCAACATTCAGAAGACTAAGACAAATAGACTTCAAGTTCAAGACCAGACAGGAAAACCCTGTCTCAAAAAAAAAAAAAAAAAAAAAAAATCGAGAAGCCAGGCTTGGTGTCACACATCTTTAATCCCAGCACTGGTGAGGCAGGGGCAGGTAGATCTCTGTGTTCAAGGCCAGCTGGGGCTACAGGGAGACCCTGTCTCAACCCACTCCCCCCACAAAAAAGCAGAGATGGCTCAGTGGTTAAGAGTGCTTGAAGACCTCCCAGAACCCACTGACAAGCCAAGCCTGTAATCTCCAGCTAAAAGGGATACGCCCTCCTAGTCTCCATGCAAGTGCCTGCACACACAGACATACACATGCATGCACACATTAATAAATGAAAATAAATCGTTTTAAAAATGGAAGGGAAGAAATAGGTAAATACCAGAAAAAAAATACATGGTTAAAAAAACAATTTTTTTTCCTTTGATGGGTAAGGGAAGATAAAGTAGAAGAGTGCTGTGTTTTGTTACTGTTAAGAGTTTTCCTATGGAATCTGTATACATTATCCCAGTTTCAGAACATTGTGATTAGTTCTGCCTTTGGCCTATATTTGTTCCCAACTGTTTTTATCAGACAGTGTCTCATGTGGCCTTAGCCTGGAACTCCCAGAGATCTGCCTGCCTCTGCCTCCTGAATGCTGAGATTAAAGGCGTGTGTCACCATACTAGGCTTGTTTCAGCTTTGTACTTCACTTTTTCTTAATTTTATTGTTTTATATCATAATAATAAGTCAGGTGATCCTCTTCTATATTGTTATGCATAATATTTATATGCAGTTGGGTCTAAGAATATAATAAACAAATACTTAGTCTCTTAAAAATCATACAACTATCTAATACTTATTGTAGAAAAGATAGAAAATGCAGAGAAACAAACAAAAATGCCTTTATAATTCATCTGACCTTGTATGTGTGTTGTGTCTGAGTTGTGTGTGTTGTTCATATGCATGTGGAGGGGGAGGCACCTGCACAAAGGCCGGAGGAGGAGTCTGGTGTCTTTCTCTATCATGCCCTGTCTCTGGTGGAACCTAGAGTTAGGCTAGCAGCCAACAAGTCCCAGCAATGCTGATTCTCCTCTATGCTCAGTGTTTTGTAACTAGCTTTATATATTAAATGTTACAAATTTTTCTCTTCCTAGTATTCCTTTATCTGTCTTCCTTCCCTCTGTCCCTTTTTTCTTTTTCCTTCCTTCCTTCCCTCTGTCCCTTCCTCCCTGTCCCTTCCTCCCTCTGTCCCTCCCTCCCTCCCTTCCTTCCTCCCTTCCTTCCTCCCTTCCTTCCTTGTGCTAGAAATAGAACCCAGGACTCACATAAGTGCTATAATCTCGCTATATCACTAGCCCATTTTTATTTAATTTTGAGACAAGGTATCACTAAATTGCCCAGGCAGCTTAAAACTTGTGATCCTCTCCTGCCTCAACCTCCCATATACTTGGGATTACAGGTGTGTACTACCATGTCTGATTTCTTTTGTCTTCGTTTTTATGGTTCCCTGATCTTCTTCTTATATGGCTATACCATGATATATTTAACCAGTCCTTTATTAGTAAATATTTAAAGTATCTGATCTTCTATAATTGATAGCAAGTTGTTTACTAGGTATTCTTGTACATATAGTTTTGCATGCTTATTCGAATATTTTCTTAGAATAAAGTGAATTTGAGGGGTCAGAAGGTATATATTCTTCTTGACAAAATAAATTGTTGTCAGATTGTTCTCCAGAACCTTTTCTCTCCATCAGTGGAAGAAAGTATTCAGTTCTCTACACCCTCACTAATGTTGGGCAGAAATGTTTACCATTATTAGGCTAACTGACATTTCAGACTTATTTAATTTCTTGGCCTTTGTTGCTGTTTTGGGCTTTTGAGATAGTCTCACTGTGTAGCCTGTATCCCAAACTCACAGGGACTCTCTAACACATTAAGCAGGTGTTCTAGCACTGAACTATAGCCTCCACAGCCTGGGGTATAGGATACCATGTCTTTTTATTTTTTAGTCTTTTTGAGACAGGGTTTCCCTGTAGCCCCAGCTGTCCTGGAACTCACTATGTAGACCAGGCTGGCCTTGAACTCACAAGAGATCCACCTGCCTCTGCCTCCCGAGTGCTGGGATTAAAGGCGTACGCCACCACACCCGGCCTAACATTTTAAATGTAGATACCCACACATACATTTGGCCATTTGTGTCTTTTGGTGAGTTTTCAAATTAAGACAGGAGACAGATTTCTTATATTAAGGATATTTAATAGGCTCTGATTGCAAGTATTTTTCTAGTTTGTCTTTTTTTCTTCTTTATTCTTTTCAGTGTTTGGGTTTGGTTTTTTTCTTCATATAACAAGTTTCTTTGTTACTAGTGGTAGAATGCTTACCTAGCATGTGTGAGGCCCTAGGCTTGATCTCCAGCACCACACACACACACACACACACACACACACACACACACACTCACTCAGCTTCTCTTTCAGCTTTACATTCAAAGCTATTAACCATTTAAAAAAATTTGCTCTAGCAAGATCCTATGCATGTAATGATGTTCAGAAATCAGTAGGTAAATGCTTTTCAAATTTCTTCCATTTTCCAATAGGAAAGCAATAGAAGAGCTGCTGAAAGAGGCAAAACGTGGGAAAACTAGAGCTGAGACAATGGGACCTATGGGCTGGTAAGTCCTTGAGTAATCCCCTTAAAACTTAAAAATATAAGCCAGATGTGATGGAACATACCTATAATTTTAGCACTGGGGCGGCTAAGACAGGATTATTGTCACGAGTTTGAGGCCAGCCTGGTCTATGCAAGAAGACCCTGTCCCTTAAAAACCAAACAACCACAGATACTTAAAAAATCTTGGCTGGAGGTAGCAAGCAGTATGTGAATCTGTGGCATAAAGAGGTTTGTAAAAGCATTAGATATTGAGACTCTCACCCAAAGATGAGTGTGGAGTAAAAACACTGCCAAGAGCTGAGCATTGGGGATCTCTGGCAATGCACAGTGGGCAGTGGGTGTGTATAGAGAATGTGAAATAGAGTTTTCTCATTCCTTTGAGTCCCCAAGATACAGAGACATTACTGTGCCCAAAGAGAGCAATATTACACCAGTCTAGCCATGCAGAATTAAAATTTACCATTGTAGTTTCTACACAAACTAGTTCACTTAATAATACGAGAGTAGGTGAGGTGTCTCAGGGGTAAAGGCACCTTTTGCCAAGCCTGACAACCTGAGTTAGATCCCAGGGACCCATGTGGTGGAAGGAGTGTATTAACTGCCTAAAATTGTCCTCTGACCACACATGCATACAAAATAAATGAATAAAAAGTAATATATGAACAAAGGAAGAATTTAACCTTAAGAACTAATTCTAGTCTGTTAGGAATGACTTTAACAATAGCTGTCCAGTAAATATCCTCAGTCTTTTCTCTACAGTTAAAAATTTATGGGGCTGGAGAGGTGGCTCAGCAGTTAAGAGCACTAGCTGCTCTTGCAGAGGACCTGGGTTGTTCCCAACACCCACCTGGCAGCTAACAACTGTCCATAATTCTAGTTCCAGGGGATCTGATGCCCTCTTCTGACCTCCACAGGCATTGCATGATATGAGTGCACTTGCATATGTGCAGGCAGTACACTCATATATATAAAAGTAATATATATATTTTTAAATCATTACATTGGGAAACTAGGGGATATTGCAAAGAATAGATATAAAAATGGGATAAGAACAAAAGCTAGACTTCTCAATACATCTTTTGTGTTTCCTTTATTTTTTCTTTTCATACAATTTTTCTTTATTTTTGAGAATTACATACGTGTAGATAATGAAATATCCCCCCCATATCCCTTTCCAGTTCCCGCTCTAGTCCCCACAATATACCCGTTCCCAATTTCATGTCTTTTTTTAAATAAGCCACTGCATCCAGTTAGTGCTGCCCATGTGCATATGGATCACCTGAGCGTGGGAAGCTACCAGTGAGAACACCCTCAGAAAAGATGGATTCTCCCTCCCCCAGCAGCTATCAACTGCCAATGGCGCCTCAGTGAGGCATGGGGCCTGGAGATACCTGTCCATGAATGCTGGGATTTGCCAGGCTTGATCTTGTGCAAGTAGCCACAGATGCTCTGAGTTCATGAATGCTACAGCCATGTTCTGTCCAGAGGTCAGCATTTTATAGTGCTCCTCTTCATTTCTTAAAAGGATTTATTTTTATTTATGTGTATATGTGTGTGTCTGCATGTATTTATGTATGCACGCATGCATGTGGGTGCTGGCAGAGGCCAGAAGAGGGCCTCAGATCCCCTGGATCTGGAGTACAGGTGATTATGAGCTATTTGATATAGGTGCTGGGAACAGAACTCCAGTCTTCAGTAAGAGCAGCAAGTGCTCCTAACTGCTGAGCCATCTCTAATCCGGTTGCTTTGTTTTTGAGGCAGGGTCTCGTGTATTCCAGGCTGGCTTCAAACTCCTTATGTAGCCAAGAATGACCTTGAACTTTTTTTAAGATTTTTTTAAATTTGTTTTCCTAATTGTGTGTGTGTGTGTGTGTGTGTTCGTACATATTGCGCAGGGGCCCACAGAGGCCAGAAGAACAGGTAGAATCCCTTGGAACTGGAGTTACAGACAGCTACAAACCACCCAGTGTGGATACTAAGAACCAAACCTGGGTCTTTTGCAAGAACAGTGATGCTCTTAGCCACTGAGCCATCTCTCTACCCTTCTGACCTTGAAATTCTGGTCCTACTGTCTCTACTTCCCAAGTACTAAGGTTACAGGCATGTGATGGTGGGATCATGCATGCTAGGCAAGCATTCTACCAATTGAGCTATATCCCTAGCCCTTTGTTTTGTAAATCTAGCTTTTAGAATCGTGCACATTGTTTGCATAAAGTAAAAAGCTAAATTAAATAAAAATAGATTCCTAATTTCTAAAAATCAAGCAAAATAAAACAATAGACCTAAATAAACTATTTAGTATCTATCTGAGCTCAGAAAGGATTTCAAGTGATCTAAATCTTGAATATATTTCTATTAGCAGAGAAAGGAAAACCACAAAGAATTTATTTTCATTCATCGTATTGATAGTAATATTGGCTATCCTGGAAATATTACATAGTAGGATAAAATAAAAAGTAAATATTTTCTATATATGAATACCAGATTTTAAGTATGAAAGAGATACAAATATAAAGTCAAGGAGGTAAAAACCTTACCCATAATAATTAATTTGAATTGGAAATATTGATATGAAGTTGTGCTACGTTTTCTTTTTTTCCAGAGAAACTTTTTTAGCTCTGGTATATAGAAAAGCCCTAGAAATAGTGACTACCCACCACAGAGCAGTGAGCATCCTGGTGCCAGGCTGTTAGGTTAAGTACTGTTTCCCATTGAAAAGAGACAGGGACCCTTAGAAGAATAATTGATTGCAATCATTTCACATCAGTGCTCAGAATTAGCCAAACTGCAAAGTTAGAGGTCACACACCCAAGATACCCCTCATTTTTTACACCACCACAAGTTCAGAAGATTCCCAAAGCTACGTTAAGCTTCAGTAGTTCACTAGTAGTTGAGTGAAATCTGTAACACTCATGGTTACAGATTATTATAGGAAAGAGATACAGATTAAAATAAGAGACACAAAGTACCAAGTCTGGAAGGGTTCAAAAATGAAGTATCTAATATCCTCTCCCCCATGGTGTCAGAACATGTTACCCTCCCAGTATCAATGTGAGATGAATGGAATGTTGCCAACCAAGGAAGTTCCCCGGGAACCTCAGTGTTCTTATGGCTCTGTTGTGTGGGTATGTTGATTGATTGATTACATGGTTATTTTAGTTTCTGGGTTGATCCATATCACAAACCTAAAGCTTTCACCTTAGTCACCATTGTTGATTTTTCTTTTGCTGCCAGCCCTCATCTAAAAATGGAAGGTGTGGCTAACTCCACCCTAAACAAAGATGTACCTATCAAGTATGACATAGATTGCCCTCCAGAAGCTGAGAGCAAAGACCAGCCCTTCCTTTGGGTAGAGCCAAACTCATCTACTACACAGGAATGAAAGTTGTAAGAGGAGCTGGAAAATCTTGTCATGCCAGAAAGCAAAGAAACTGTCAAAGGCCAATATCCTCAGATTGGGAAGTCTCAGGAACCAATTTGAAGACAAAGATGGAATAATTTGATTTAAAAATTAAATTACAATGATTGAATCACCTAAAATATGTTGAAATCCATAAGGTTGTAAGAATAATCACAGTAAGACCCTTAGTGGTCCCTTATGAATGATGCTAGAGATCCAAATCATTACTCAAAAAACTGGTAAATAAAGAGGCTTGAACTATATGTTGGGATTATCAAATAATTGCTAAAAGTTTATAAAAGAATTGCACAGGGGACTGGAGAGACCAACCTGAGCATGTCCCAGATCAACCTGAGATGTATAAAGAGATCCTCATCTCAAAACATAATTTAAAACAAAATAGAAACCATGTGCAAAAGTCCTGGATTTAATCTCCGACATCTCCCCTCAAAAAGAGTTGTACCTAGTAAATGAAGAATAGATTATCATCACTTGAATGGTTCTGTTTTCTGTAGTACTGAGGATTAGACCCACAGCCTCATGTATATTAAGCACATGCTCCCCACAGAGCCATATCCCCAGCCATGAATTGTTAAATCAGTAATAAGGCAAATAGCCCAACTTAAGAATAGACAAAATACTGAACAGATAAATAGTTTACTAAAAAAGCTAGAGGATTGGCCAGCAAATATAAGATGATCAAATCCATAGCTACCAAGAAAACACTCATTAAAATCACAGTTACCTCTATGCATGTGTTAGAATAGTGAAAAATTTAAAATTTACAAACCAAGTATGATGAGGCTGTGCAGCAACTAAAAATGTAAAATCTACAACCTCTTTGAAAAACAATTGGCATCAATGGCTGCTAAAGCAATCTATCAAGTGAAAAGTGATGGGAAACATCCTGCCAAATGGGTCAGGTTGTGACAATACCTGACCACAGACCACATTAATGATTGGTCTTTGTTTTGGTTTTGGTGTTGGTGTTGGTTCTAGGCATGAGCCTATGGCATGCTAGGCAAGCTCTTTTCTACTGAACCACATCCCCAGCCCTGACATTGGTGATTTTTTTTTTTTTCTGGTCTTTTTGAGACAGGGTCTCCTTGTAGCTACAGCTGGCCTAGATTCGCTGTGGAGACCAGGCTGGCCTCAAACTCACAGAGATCCACCTGCCTCTGCCTTGAGAGTGCTGGGATTAAAGGCATGTGCTACCACACCCATCTACATTGGTGAATCTTTTAAATAAATAAAAATTACAAACCACCAGAGACATCCTGGTCAAAACATTGAACCAGGGTCTGGTCAAGTCTAGTTAGAAAAATCTGTAGAAGAAAGAAGAATGCTTTTAAATGACAACAAAGGTTGAAATCACAGCATCCAAAAAGTAGAAATTTTACAAGTCAGAGAATGCAATTTCTTTAACAATCAAGTACAAGGAGAAAGGAAAGAGCCTGTGAACTAATATATTTGAGGCAATCAAATAAAATACTGCAAAGTCTTTATCTAAAATAACTGAAAAGAAATTTTGAGGACTGGGGATGGCTCAATTGGTAAAGTGCTTTGAGTGCTTGCTTTGCAGGCATATAAGGACCTATGTT